CAAGCAAGTTGGAGTGGCTGTTGCAAAAATGGAAAGCTCAGAAAATGCTCTGGAGCAGCTTGGGAAGGTCACAGGGCAGCAAATTCTCAAACCAGATGTTATTTCTCCAGGACTTTGGAAAAGGAATTGCCTAAAAAAACTGAGAAAGGATTGAAAACACCCAGGACTTCCCTAAAGAAGATTCTCCAAAGAATGGCATTTCAAAATCAGTTGTCTGGGATCTGGGTGTTTGAAACCACTTTGTTTTGATGGTGCAGCAGAGGAAGCTTTTTTTTTTTTTTTTTTCCCCACCTTGCTTCATCAGGTGGCTAGAGCTGATGCTGAGGAACACAAGAGGCATTTAAGCATAGAGACATGAAGGGAGGGAGACCAAGAGGTGAAGAGCTGTGAAGGACACCCATCTCTGATCCTGGGCAGAATAAGCAGGGTCTGCAAACGCTGCTGGACTCCTGCCTTCTCCTCCTAGTATCTGCCCTGCTGAGCTCTGCTTGTCTTCCACCTCCAGAAGCACTAAAACCCCCCTATTGAGATGTCCTAACCAGCTTTCCTTGGCCCCTAGCCTTGCCCTCAAGGAAGTAAAAATAGGAAGGTGCTCTTGAAGCAGTCTAGTGGGTGCCGCTCCAAGTGACTGTTTTGTGATATGGGAGTGGGGATGCTGTGACATCTGAAGAAATCGCTGTTACAGGGTTTCTTGGCAAACCCATTCCTCGTGTTCCTGACATCAGCAAGCGGGTGCTTCACCAGAAGGCTTAGAAATATCCATTTGTCAATTCAAAACTGGTGTTTTCTCCGTCAAGCCCTTGAGGCTGGAGGAGTACAGCAAAAAAACAACCTTGCAGACAGCTTTGAGTGGCCTGTGTTTTTTTGCAATGAGATAGCTCTTTGCATTCTGCACATACCCTGCATGCCATACCATTTCCAACCCGACTACTTCAAAGAAAAGCTGACATCTTTTCTTATTCCCCAGCTAGGAGCTCCAGGCCCGAGTGGAAAGTGGGTTTGAGGCATTCCTGACCCAAAATAGGGAACAGCCACCCCTGACGGGCTTTTAGGTAATGCTGGGAGGCTGTGTCCATTGCTTCCCTCTGTAATTGCTGCAGCCACCCAAATCCTCCCGTGGTCCTGTGAGCTTCCAGCACAGACCTGCACCCACTGCTGACTTTAAGGCTGTAACCACCTAGAGATCCTGGCTCATTTAGGCTGAAACGGGCTGGGAAGCGCTGTGCAAGGAGATCTGGGCTGGGCACATCTATTCCTTACAAAGAGATGCTGATAAAATCTGCTAGTGACTGTGCATGAGTTTAAGCCTACTCTACTGGTGCAGGGTCCGGAGCACAGGTCTGATGGGGAGCGGCTGAGTGAACCGGGGGGGGTTCAGTCTGGAGAAGAGGAGGCTGAGGGGAGACCTCCTGGCCCTCTGCACCTCCCTGACAGGAGGGTGCAGAGAGTGGGGATGAGTCTCTTGAGTCAAGGACCCAGCGCCAGGCCCAGAGGGAATGGCTGCAAGCTGCCCAGGGCAGGGTCAGGCTGGCTCTGAGGAAGGATTTCTTTGCAGAAGGGGCTGTTGGGCGTTGGAATGGGCTGCCCAGGGCAGGGGGGGAGTCCCCATCCCTGGAGGGGTTGAAGAGTCGTTGAGGTTGACCCAGCGCTGAGGGTTCTGGTGGAGTTGGGAACAGTCAGGATGAGGTTCATGGTTGGGCTGGAGGAGCTTCAAGGGCTTTTCCAACCCAGATGATTCTGGGATTCTGTAAACCCAAACAGTTCAAACCCAGCTCTTGTCCAGGCACTCAGTCCTTCCTGGGAAGCATTAAGCACCCAGTTCATGCTGGTGCCTTGCTGTGAAGTGCCCTGGAACTGCACTTCTCAACCTGGCTCCTACCTGCCCTGTTCTGACGTGTGAGCCTGTTGGTAGCTCTGGGTTGTTTCTTTTTGTGGGAACTCGGATAATTCATCACTTGTAAAGCACGCCTGGCTGTCTTTCTGGAGCACAGCACTAGAGGAACTGCTGGCACCTGAACTTCCTTTAACCCGGTTCTGTGGAACACCAGCAAATTCTAAATATATATATATATATCTATATCTCCTTAACCCTTGTCTGCCTTTGAGTTCCTTGGGGTGGCACTGCCCTGCTCCTCATCTCTCTGTTTTTACAGACATTTTCAAGGACAGAAGAAAGGGGGGAGAAGTCTTCTGCTCCTGGTGAGCGTGGCACTGCTGGGGCTGGTGCATGGTGAAATCCCCTACCCCCCGGGGAGCACCAGGCACCAAGAATTACCGGAGGCAGGTGCGAGAGCTGCTCTCTCCTTGCACGGTTAATTAGAGGGATCAATTTTTTGTTTGTTTTCTTCTGGCCTTTGCAGTTGTGCACAGGTTTAATAAGGATCTGAAAGCACTGGTGGCAGGTGTGGGGGGATCTTCTCTTTGCCCCACACGTCGGCTGCTTCCTCTTCTGCCAGACCTACGATGCTGCTTGCCCGGTCTGCCAAGTTGTGCCTTGTGGTTTTATTTTTTTTTTAATCTTGTGGATAAACCTCCAGTGCTGGACTACACGACTTTTGTTTGCAAGCTGAGATATGGGCTTTCTGGGTGGAAAGAGTGTAGGGAGCAGATTTAAACTCCCAATTCCTCCTCCTTGTGTGTTCCCCAAGTGGTGCTGGAGCCCTGTAGCAACATAACAAAGGGCTGGACACCCTTCTTGTAGCAGGAACCAGACCTCCAGAGTGTGTGCTCAAACAAAAGACCTCTTAGCTCTCTGCTGGTTTGGCTGTGTCTGAGCAGCCGCAGCTCCCGTTGTATGTGCAAAACGATGATTTTAAAATACTTCTTGTCAAGGTGTAATGGTAACACCTTGCTGGACTCAAAGAAACAGCTTGCTTATAGTTCTCTTGTTTTAGGTGATTTGACTCTAGGGAGTCTGTGTTGGTTGCCTTTCAGCTGTAAATCCTTCTAAATGTGAGCTAAGGAGACCAGAAACTCTGGGAGATATTAAAAGTTTGCCTTCTGCAGGGCCTGCTGCTTTGTCAGAAAAATCCTCTCCAGCGAGCATGAGCTAGCCTGTAGCCAGATTTTAGACATGGCAGCCCAATGTCCTATTACCTCCTGGATGAATGAGCTGTTCCTCTTCCTCCTCCAGCCTCCCAGGTTAGCAACAAAATCCTGCCAAGTGAAGATTGTCCGTAAAATTAGAGAAGAGCGGTGATTTCTGTGTGCCTGCAGGAGGCATTTCCTTCTGCAAAAAAAATTATCACTTGATCCTCTGAGATCAGTCTTCCTGAAAAGAACTGCCTTTCTGGCTGGGGATTGATGGTGATCAGTACAGGTTAATTTAATAAATCCCTTCTCCCAGGGCATGTATGCATAAAAATACACATAAACCTCTGCACAGTGACTTATCTTTGTGGGATGAAGGTGCTCTTGGCCTGGGTGGGGGAGGTATTGTAGCTACGTGCTAATCTCTCAAGCATCCTTTCTCCCAGTGCTGGGGAAGTTGTTTCTGTTCCACAGTGTTGCACTGATGTAAGGCCTTGGGGGACCTGGGCTTGATTACACGAGAAACGTCAGCAAGTCTCCTAATCTGCCTGAGCTCTAGTTTCCAGTCTGCTGGTCGCCTTTATCTCAGTTAGGTTTTGCTGAGCTTCAACCATGTATTCCCATCACCTCCGTGGCACCAGCCACAGTGTGGAGCGAACTCTTTGCAAGTAAAATTCATCTTCTGGAGAGAGTATGGGATGGCGTGTGAAGGGTAGGACCTCTGGCTGTGCATCAGGGACCTCCAGGGTTGGGTTTTTTTGTGCTTCCCAGATGATGTGGCCAGCTGAGCGCTGACCACCTTCTTACTTCTCTTGGACTGCAGTTTCTTCACCCTTTATTTTGCTTCTCTTTGCTTTGCAAGCCTTTGGGTTGGGTTGTATCTCAACTTGGTTCTCCATCAGTAAAGTCTAGCAGGGAAGTGGCCTCGGGTATCAGCTATCTGCTGGAAGGAAAAATGATTGTGTTCAACCATTGATTTTCCTTCCTGATAAAAGTGCCGTCTCCTGTGTTTGCATTGGGGCTCTCTGCATCCTCCTCTGCCATGGCACAGCCACCCTTGTCGCTGCTAAAGGCTTTGCTCACAGCTGGGGCAGAAGCATTTCTGAGCAGCAAGTGCCTCAGTTTTTATTTAAACTGATTAAACCCATCAACAGTGTTAAATGAGTTTAATCTACTTAATTTGCTCTGTGGGCTAGTGTACTGTTATATAGATCCTGCAGAGCACGTTAGGGGCATGCATAAGCAGCTGGAGGTGGGATGGGGTCCTGTGAGCTTGATTTTCAGGGCTCTGGTTTTGTAGGTGTCTCTGAAGCTTTTAGGGCTTGACCCAGGTGAGGAATCAGCCTGGGGCTGCACGTGACTGAGGTTGCCTGACAGTTGTCCATTTGAAGCCCAAATGTTTTGGGAGACATATAAAAAGAACAGCCTTGAAAAGGGGGAGAACTAGCATCCAGATATCAGCGAGGTGTGTGCACTGGGGAGAGTGCTGACTGCTGACTCTTGAGCTCTCCTGGAGGGAGGTAAGATGATGGGTGAACTTCTGGGTGTCCTTTGGATATCACCATCCCTGGCACCTCCAGCTCCAGCACCCATTTGCTCCCCTTACTTGTACCACATGGCTGACCAGCACCCCTTCCAGAAGCACCTCTGGTGACTGGGTAACCACCTTGTAACCTAAATGCTCTTATTTCCCAGGATCATTTTTTTTCATGATTGTGGTGTTTCCTGAGCCTTTCGGTTGAGACCGAAAAGGGAGCTGGGCTGAAGTTCAGAGTTTTGCAAAGCAGCTTGGGTCCGTTACAAGCTGCCTCTGCTTGGCTTGCCAAGACATCACCTTTATTCTGCTGAGCTTTGACTTGTGTGGGTTGCTGCTGGCCCTGATGCAGATGTGCCCCTTGCTAGCGAGAGTCCACAGCCCAGAACAGCGTGGACGTGTCTCACCACTCTGTGCTCTTCCCTTTCCTCTCCAGGGAGCTCAAACTGCGAAACTATGAGCCTGAAGATGAGGAGCTGAAGAAGAGGAAGGTGCCCCAGGCCAAGCCAGCTTCAGGTACATGCATGTGGGAACGTGGGAGGTGAAAGGAGTGAGCAGGAAAGCAGAAGCATTGCCAGTGGTGGTGCTCGTACTTTGCTCTGTTCCGGGGGCTTGTAGGCAAAGGCAGATCACGCAGAGCCCTGTGCAAGGATTCACTGACTGCTGAAGTGAGCCCCTCTCTAACAGCACTTCCTACCCCCTCCTGCTGGTGAGCCTGCCTCCCCAGTGAAGTTCCCAGAGAGAATGAGGCAGCGCTTGGGGCTGTGAGGACAAATAAATCAGTGTGGGACTCTGCATCCAGCCAGCATGCTGCAAAGTGGATGGGTTATTTTCCTTTCCAAAAATCAGGCAGCTTGGAAACCTCTGTGTTCCTGCTCTGAATCACAGAATTGTCTCTGTTGGAAAAGCCCCTGAAGCTCCTCCAGCCCAACCATGACCCTCCCCCTGACCGTTCCCAACTCCACCAGATCCCTCAGCGCTGGGTCAGCCCGACTCTTCAACCCCTCCAGGGATGGGGACTCCCCCCCTGCCCTGGGCAGCCCATTCCAACGCCCAACAGCCCCTTCTGCACAGAAATCCTTCCTCAGAGCCAGCCTGACCCTGCCCTGGCGCAGCTTGAGGCCATTCCCTCTGGGCCTGGCGCTGGGTCCTTGGCTCAAGAGACTCATCCCCCCTCTCTGCACCCTCCTGGCAGGGAGTTGCCGAGGGCCAGGAGGTCTCCCCTCAGCCTCCTCTTCTCCAGACTGAACCCCCCCGGTTCCCTCAGCCGCTCCCCAGCAGACCTGTGCTCCAGACCCTGCCCCAGCTCCGTTGCCCTTCTCTGGACACGCTCGAGGCATTCAATGGCCTTTTTGGGGTGAGGGGCCCAAAACTGAACCCACTCATCGAGGGGCGGCCTCACCAGTGCCGAGCACAGGGCTCAGATCCCTTCCCTGTCCCTGCTGGCCACGCTGGTGCTGACACAAGCCAGGATGCCATTGGCCTCCTTGGCCCCCTGGGCACACTGCTGGCTCATGTTCAGCCGGCTGGCAATCAACACCCCCTCTGGCTGCTTGCTCCAGCCCAAGGTGGAAAAGCCACTGGGATGTCTTCTGGTAGCAGCTCGCTGGTGTGAGGATGATAGGTCTTAGGAGATGAGTGTTTGCAGCCCTGGACAGTGCTGGAGTGTCCGAGCAGCCCGTGGGGCAAGCATGGTGCTTGCAGCCCCTTGTTGCTTCATCATCCTCACTGCCCCGTGGGGACTGCACGCCCTACGTTGCACAAGTTGGGGGTGTGTGTCTGAGCACACCGAGTCCAGCCCCAAACCAAAGGGTTGATACTCAGAGAAGCCAAGATCTTGCTGGAGAATTCTCAAGGAGATTCAGGCTATTTTTTGTTTGACTTACCTTTAAACAAACATTAATCATAAGTCCTGGGCGTTCAGTCTGCTATTTCCTAGCACCGAACCTCTGTGCAGCTCTTGAGAGGGAAGCAAGGGGTGGAAGTTCCCTTGATCTTGAAATATTGAGTCCTCCTGGAATAGATCACTTTAAAAATGCCCTTAAATAAAAAGGCTGCCTTTGGGAGCATGGCAGAGATCTGGTAGGTAGGAATGCTGACGCTGCTCTTTCTTTATGTTTTTGTAAAATTTTAAAACTATCCCGACGTGTGGTTTGGAATTGGGAACAGCAATTTTGACCATTTCCAGTAAAACTCACGCTCTCTGCCAGCCCTTCTTGGGAGCTGCAGTGCCCATCAGCTGTGATTCCTGTGTCTGGAGTGAGCAGCCTGCCTGTCCTTGGGCTCTTTGTGCCAGGGCAGGGGAAGGAAGCAGTCAGAGGAGCTGGGTCTTGTGGTGGATTTGTGCTAAATTCTCCATTTGCTGGAGCAGGATTCACCCCTCAGGTCTGTGCTCCCAGGTGCCTGCACCCCATCCTTGCTCAGAGTTGAGCTGAACCACAGAGGGCTGTTTTCCACAAGTGTTTTGCCACTGTCCCCAGTATCTGTAGAGCTTGATGTAAGGTCTGGGCTTGATTCCTCTGAGATGTCTCAGCTGGTGGCCTTGTAAATGAGTCACAGTGAGGCAAATTCCAGTTTAAACACCTCCAGAGCAGCTGATCCCTGCAGGTCTTACGAAAAGAGGGCTTGAACCCAGCAGACTTCTTGCTGCCGTTGTTTATGGTGTTAAATGGTTGTTGGGTTTGCATCATCTTCAGATGATTTTGGGGAGTCTCCAGAAGGGTTTGGGTGGTGGAGGAACATGTGTACCCACGTGTACTCCTACTTACCGTGCTTTTAGGGCAAAGACATTCAACCAGGCTATTGTAAAAGGTTTTGTGAACGAAGAGTTCAAGGGGGTTTCCCTGTGCGTTGTCCCCTTGGTGGTCCCTGCATTGATGCTGGTCCTGTTCCCCCATCTAGTGGAAGATAAGGTGAAAGACCAGCTGGAGGCTGCCAAGCCGGAGCCCATCATCGACGAGGTGGTATGTATGGGTGTTCTGAGCTGCTCTGTTCCGGGTGCGTCTGTCTATGTCCAGGCTTGAACCTTACCTGCAGCTCTCACTGGGTGTCTCCTCTTCTTCCCTAGGATCTGGCAAACCTGGCTCCCAGGAAGCCAGACTGGTGAGTGCCTGCCAAAGCCCTGCTCCTGGGTAGGTTACCATCACCTTGATGTTGTCTAGGTGGGCTTAAAAGTGCTAAAAATGGGAAACCCAGCCCTGCTTTTGAGGAAGTTGCAAGGCACGGGGCTGTCTTCCCTTTTCCTGCTTATACCGAGTGACCCCACTGATCCTTTTGGGGTCACGGTAGCCTCAGTGACAAGGGATGCTCTGGATGTTGAGTTGGTTTGCTCGTGAGCTGCCCTGGTGCCAGACACACGCTCTGCTCCCTGGTGCTCACAGGGGCAAGGAGGAGTTTCTCTTCCACTGGGAAAGTTGTGACATGGTCCCTGTGTTCACAGCTGCTTGTTGTGAGGATTTGTTCTGATGTTGTCTCTCTCCTCCCCAGGGATTTGAAGCGAGATGTTGCCAAGAAGCTGGAGAAGCTGGAGAAGAGGACGCAGAGAGCCATCGCTGAACTGATCCGTGGGTTGTGGTGCTGCGGGGATGGTGTGTGGGGTCCCAGTTGTTCCAGAGGGGTTACACAATCCTCACTGTGAGCTTTTGGGCCGGGGACGGCCTGGCAGACCTTGATCCCCTTCTCAAAAGGGTCTGTGGAGCTGTTGGTCCCAAGGGGCTTCCCCGAGGCCGCATGTGTCAGGGAAGGGTGGTTTGTGGGCTTGGGGGCTGTAGTTCAGCTCCTCCACTGTGGAGGTTCCCCATAGAGCTGGTTTATCCTTGAGCCCCTGCTTTTTCTCGTCACAGGAGAGAGGTTGAAAGGGCAGGAGGAGGAGCTGGCATCCGCTGTCGGGTCAGCGAAGCAGGAGGGGAGTGACTCCGACTGAGCAGGTATGTCGACAGCTGTGGGCCTGGGCTCTGCGGATCTGCCTCTGCCGGTAACGCCGAGCCCAGCGCCTTCGGGTGGAGGCACCTCCCTGGGACACGCTGCCCACCAAGGCTTTGCCAGAAGCCCACGAATCCTACCCTGCCCGAAGACGAGAGGCAGATCCCAGCTGTCCTCTCTCCTGGACTGTGGCTGGCTGTTAAGGAACGCTTCATATGCAGCTTTTTGGGACCACGGGGGCTGATGGGAGCAGGACAGACACCCACGTTAGCTTGAACCTAGGCTGTCAGGACTCAGAGCAAGGAAGATTTGGGCAAAAAAGACCCACAGAAGGTAAATTCAGGCTAACTCTCCTCTGGCTTGTAAGCAAGAAGATGCCCATACGGCCAACAGCAGCTCTTAGAGAGGCACACCCATTTCCCAGGGGACTGATACTCCTGTTCCTGCACAGAGATGCCTTTTTCAAGGGGTTCCTTTCTACAGAAGAGCTGCTGTAAGTGCCGTATGGGGAACAGCGAGGACTGTCACTCTGGTGAGCTGGCTCTGAGTATTTGGGAACATCCGTGGTCAGACCCAACCTGTGCAGAATAACTCTGCTGGAAGGATCCCTGCAACTTCGGACCCGTTGGCTGCTCTGTGTCCAGCTGAGGTTAACGTGAGGTTTATTCTGTTCCTTGAAGTTTCCTGATGCTCCAGGCTGCACAGTGTGTACCACTCCTCTATGTGTTTTATAATTGACAAAGTTTGTTGATAACAAATCTTTTTGTAATAAAACAGTCCCTCAGCGGAAGGAGTTGTCCCTTATTCTGCAGAGGACTGTGTGGAGGCAGCTCAGTTCACCTTCCTGATGTCTGTGGGGACTTCAGGTCGCTGGTCCCTGTCCCCTTTGCTTCCTCAGGACAGGGAGCAGTGGGTTTTTGTTTGTGGAAGTCTGAGGTGGCTGAGCTGTAGCTGCAGCATGTCAAAGCCAACTCCTGGGTCAGAGCTGTGCCACGGATGGGGCAGCCTGGGGCAATGCCAACCTCGTGGTGCTGGAAGAATCGAGGGGGTGGGATGTTGCAGAGCCGATGCTGCATCTTCCCTGGGAACCTTTGCTGGGGCTCCTGGAGGTCTTGCAGGATGGTTGCTCCTGAATCTCTGCAGAGAGACCTGGACAGGCTGGAGCAATGGGCTGAGCCCAACTGGAGGAGTTTCAATAAGGGCAAATGCCGGGGGCTGCCCTTAGGCCACAACAACCCCCAGCAGCGCTACAGGCTTGGGGAGGAGTGGCTGGAGAGCTGCCAGTCAGAGAGGGACCTGGGGGGGATTGATAATGAGCCAGCAGTGTGCCCAGGGGGCCAAGGAGGCCAATGGCATCCTGGCTTGTGTCAGCACCAGCGTGGCCAGCAGGGACAGGGAAGGGATCTGAGCCCTGTGCTCGGCACTGGTGAGGCCGCCCCTCGATGAGTGGGTTCAGTTTTGGGCCCCTCACCCCAAAAAGGCCATTGAATGCCTCGAGCGTGTCCAGAGAAGGGCAACGGAGCTGGGGCAGGGTCTGGAGCACAGGTCTGCTGGGGAGCAGCTGAGGGAACTGGGGGGGTTCAGTCTGGAGAAGAGGAGGCTGAGGGGAGACCTCCTGGCCCTCTGCAACTCCCTGCCAGGAGGATGCAGAGAGGGGGGATGAGTCTCTTGAGCCAAGGACCCAGCGCCAGGCCCAGAGGGAATGGCCTCAAGCTGCGCCAGGGCAGGGTCAGGCTGGCTCTGAGGAAGGATTTCTTTGCAGAAGGGGCTGTTGGGCGTTGGAATGGGCTGCCCAGGGCAGGGGGGGAGTCCCCATCCCTGGAGGGGTTGAAGAGTCGGGCTGAGCCAGCGCTGAGGGATCTGGTGGAGTTGGGAACAGTCAGGGCAAGGTTTATGGTTGGGCTGGAGGAGCTTCAAGGGCTTTTCCAACCCAAATGCTTCTGTGATTCTCGAAATCCTCTGCATTTGATTTAAAGGTGGTTTTGTCCCAAGGTGAACCATCTGATACGTAGAGCTCTGACAGTGGTATTTACAGGAGCTCACCTGTGATAAAAATAGCTGTTCCTGTTAATGCATTTGTCCTGCTGCTTTTAAAAGCCCATGGAAAAGAGCTGCTGGCAGGGAGAGGTCCCTCATGTGGCAGCAGCTTGGTTTGGCAGGGGGTGGCAGTTCTGACCTCACCTGCTGGAGCCTCGGTGGTTATAGCTGCCACCTCAGCTTGTCACCAAGCAGGTCCCCCTGCAGGACAGGATTGGTCCCAGCCGTGCTAAATAGAGACTGATTGACCCTTGTCCTCTGCTGGGAGCTCTGTGGCTGCACATGGTGAGGATACCTGAGGAGCTTTCCTCCTGCTAGACCCCCGTTCCTGCTTCCAGATCACGAGCTAGGAGCAAAGATCTGGTGAAATGCCCTCGTCCCTCCAGCTTCCATGCACAAACCTCTGCCCTCCATCCCCTGCTGCCTCTCTTCTCTCCCGTGACTTGCCTAGTCCTGCTGTTTGCATTCCTGCTCCGTCCTCCCCTTGGGCTGGAGCCTGTTGCCTCAGGGATGGGCCCTTTCCCAGACCTGTGGGGCCAACAAAGAGATAGACATCCCATGGAGTGAGGGGAGACCTGTATCCCCCTGTGGCAGTGAGTTTCCAGCACCAGGCTCCAACGTTGGTGTGTGGCTGTGGACTCCCTCTGGGCTCTCTAGTGAAAAAACACCTGGGATGAAAGCCTGGCTGTCTTCCTGCAGGTCATTTTTCGGCTATTTTTATAATTTGTCCCTGGGCAGGAGGCAGCCTGGTGTCCCTGGGTCAGACTGTTTCTGGGCAAGAAAACTGAGATCTGTCCCCAGTGTGAAGGTGCCACCCAGGCACCCTGTGCCGCGGGGACAGGTGGGTGCTGCTTCTCGTGGGTGCTCTCATCCATCAGGTAACGCTGCCCTGTGGGTCCGTCGTGGAAAAGAGGGGGTGGATGTGCTGTACAGGGACACCCTTGGCACCAGGCAGAGCACGTGGTGATGTGTAAAAATGAAAAGGACCCCTGACTTGTGACAGCGATGGCTTCTCCACCACCAGAGCAGAGCTGGCAACAACCGAGGTGCGTGTTTGGGGGGTTGCTCCCCCCACGCAGGTTTATTTGTGGTTAGTTACTAATGACCTGGGCTGTCACACACCTTAACGTGCCTTTCTTGGGAAGAAAAGTGGGGAGCCACGGCCTCGTCTCTGAAACGCCCTGTAGATGTCAGCAAATCTCCGTGCACCAACCCGCGGGGTGTCCAGTTAGTCCCAGAGCTGTCTGCTCTGCATGGGCTGACATTTTTTGAGCTCATTTGCAGCAGTGTTTCTCCCTAGCCACCCCCCCCACCCCCATCCTGCCAAATTTAAACAAAACCTGCTTTTCTCATGCAAGGAAAATCAGAATAATCTTTTTCACCTTTTCAGCTCTCTGTGAAATTGTCAGTTGTAAATTGAAAATCAAAACACTTTCTTCTCGGACAAACCGAAATGAAACATCCTGATTTTTCCTTTTCCCACATGCTTTCCACTTTTATTCCAGCCTGAAATTAAGCTGGGAATCAGCCTCAGGCCCCTCCTGGGTTTGGAGACTCAGCTGGGAATGGGGAGAGGTCCATTCCCAGCCGGATGATGGGGTCCACAGACCCCAAACCTGTGCGTGGGAGCTGGGCCCCGCTGCTGGAGCCTCCCATTCTCGTGACTTTTGGGAGCATCCCTGCAGCTGTGCTGCCGGCGCGGAGGCGCTGACCCAACCGCCATTTCCTCTGGCTGCAAAATACCTGCCCTGAGTCTGTCTTCTTTTGCTTTGCTGAGGACACAGATTCTTCTTCCTCTTTCCAATATATACGTTATTTCTTGTAAACCTTAAAAGGGCCGTTTCTCAGCCCCACAGGATGCCCTCCTGCTGCTTTAGGGGAGCACGCCTGTAAATCGTGACCTCTCTCCAAAACTGAGTGTGGACATCCCCTTCCCCCCGGAGCAGAGCTGCCCTTGCAGGACACGAGGGGCTGGGCTGGTACCTGGAGTGGGGTGGGAGGAAGAAGAGCAGCATCAGACTCATTTCCCTCTCCTGTGGGGCCTTGCAGTGACACATCGCTTATCCTGGCACAGGGCTGGAACCCCCAGCACGAGATGGGGGTCCTGACATGAGACTGGGGTCCTGGAATGGTGTGAGAGACTAAAATATCAAATGATTGTCTCAAAGCTTGCTTGTGTGTGTGCTTTGAATCACCGGGTGGTGTCAGCAACGCCTCGACCATTCATCAAGGACCAGCCTTTGGATTAGTCTAAGGAACATCACCCAAGGAAGCAGGAGTGTATTGAAGGATGCACCCTCCCACTCTCTTGCAGTTGGACTGACAAATTGCTTAGATAAGCCTCAGAAAAGGTGGACTGAGCAAAACCAGGTTTTTCTCATGGAGCACAAGGACTGCTGTGTAAGCCCCATGCTCTGTGGCTCTGTTGTATCACTCATGGCTTTGCACCTTCACCACTCAACTAGATAACAGGTGAGCGTTTCTGCCTCAAAAGCTGGATGGTTGCTCAAAAACCTGTAAGAATGGAGGAAAAACTAAAGGTAGGCAGATATGCTAATCTTCTGGTCAGATGAACTTAAAAGATGACCAAGAACTTTGCTGGGTGTGCACCCACCACTGAAGAATTGAAGACTGAGGACCAAAGGGATGCTGCTGGGTCCATGGTGGTGACTATTCTTGTGACTATTCTGGATGCTTGCTTGATTCCTGTCTTTTCCTTCCATTCTGTCCCATTGCCTCTTTACTTTTAATAAAAACACCCTATTTTGGGTGTACAGCATTTGACCCCATTTGTGTCTTTACCTCGCTCTTGGTATTGTATTCAAACCACCCCCGACATTCATAGAATCACGGAATCACCTCAGTTGGAAAAACCCCTGAAGCTCCTCCAGCCCAAACATGAACCTCAACCTGACCATTCCCAACTCCACCAGATCCCTCAGCGCTGGGTCAGCCCGACTCTTCAACCCCTCCAGGGATGGGGACTGCCCCCCTGCCCTGGGCAGCCCATTCCAACGCCCAACAGCCCCTTCTGCAAAGAAATCCTTCCTCAGAGCCAGCCTGACCCTGCCCTGGGCAGCTTGAGGCCATTCCCTCGGGGCCTGGCGCTGGGTCCTTGGCTCAAGAGACTCATCCCCCCTCTCTGCACCCTCCTGTCAGGGAGTTGCAGAGGGCCAGGAGGTCTCCCCTCAGCCTCCTCTTCTCCAGACTGAACCCCCCCAGTTCCCTCAGCCGCTCCCAGCAGACCTGTGCTCCAGACCCTGCCCCAGCTCCGTTGCCCTTCTCTGGACACGCTCAAGTCATTCAATGGCCTTTTTGGGGTGAGGGGCCCAAAACTGAACCCACTCATCGAGGGGCGGCCTCACCAGTGCCGAGCACAGGGCTCAGATCCCTTCCCTGTCCCTGCTGGCCACGCTGGTGCTGACACAAGCCAGGATGCCATTGGCCTCCTTGGCCCCCTGGGCACACTGCTGGCTCATTATCAATCCCCCCCAGGTCCCTCTCTGACTGGCAGCTCTCCAGCCACTCCTCCCCAAGCCTGTAGCGCTGCTGGGGGTTGTTGTGGCCCAAGGGCAGCCCCCGGCATTTTCCCTTATGGAAACTCCCCCAGTTGGCCTCAGCCCATGGCTCCAGCCTGCCCAGGTCTCTCTGCAGAGCCTCCCTACCCTCGAGCAGATCAACACTCCCACCCAGCTGGGTGTCACCTGCAAACTGACTGAGGGGGCACTGGATCCCCTTGTCTAGATTGTCAGTAACAATGTTAAACAGGAGTGGCCCCAGCACCCAGCCCTGGGGGACACCACTTGTGACTGGCCACCAACTGGATTTAATTCCATTCACATTGAATTGGGACAAATGGGATTGGGGTTCCTGCACGGTCCAAGGATCCCATCATGGGACTGGGATCCTGGCATGGCAATGGGGGCCCTGCACAGGATGGGGGTCCAGCATGAGGCAGGTGTCCGTCCATGGGACATGGCTCTGGGATCCTTGTTGTGGGAGCAGGGTCCGAGGATGTGCCAGCCCTGAGGCTGGTGCATAGGTGCCAAGGGGCTAATCTCCCCTTCCCTGGGACATTCCTTTCCCCAGCCTGGGGGAAGGAGGAGTGTGTGAGGCAGGGCTGAGAGAACAGGG